ATACCGAATTTCGGTATACCGAAAATTCGGTACGGTATGTGGCCCATACCGTTTTATACCGAAAAACCACAACACTAAACTTGTAAAATGATTCCGTAGAAAGCATCGGCATAAAAGGCCTACCGAACATCCAAAAAAACTGATTTTAATATGCCGAAAGTAGTATACGACATCAATTACATAAGCTTTTACCAAAACTAAAACAAAATATTTAATCCAAAGTAGAAAATACTAAAATTATGCGCTACTATCTCAAGTCTCAACACAATCCATCTGCCAACTGCCAACGTTACAGTGATTGCATATTTATATGCTTTGAATGCTCCCATCTGTCAACTTTCTTGAACCTTTGGCACAATGATTCCAATAAATACTCCTCGTTTTAGGTGCTACAGGAGGCTTTTCTTTTGAAGATTCACGTGTTCGCTTCTGACTAGAAGTACCATTCTCTGTTTCAGATTCAATCTGGACTGGGCAGCGAGTGAGATGATTCAGATTCCATTAGCAATGCTGAAAATGTAACAAATATCATGTTAATCAATCTGAAAAATGACATTGACAAATTATTTAGCACGCTCGCATTATTGTCATTGACAAATTATTTGTTAATCATAGACCAGATTGTTAATCAATTATGCTTAGTACAAAATAGGCCTACTACCACCAGACTACCAGAGGAAGGGCTGAAAACCGGCTCTAGTTTGTGCAGATACATTCAGAGCTGGAGCTATAGATCAACTAAAGCCAAATGCAACCAAAGCTAAAATACCTTTCTATGGGATGTAAATCTTTTTCACAAACAATCCATTCATTATCTGTTTCACAAAGTTATCACTTTTCTTTCTTAAAGGTTTATTGTTTATATGCTCAACAGAGCTGTTTTATTGATCGGTTTTCTCAGTAATAACCTTGAGGCATATTCATTATACATTATACATTAAATCTTCAACAGAAAAGCCTCCTGTAGCACCTAATTATACATACACTTTAATTAAAAAAAATTATAATTGGAGTCTTATGAAGTTCTGTCAAAATAAGTATAGTTAACTAGTTGTACACAAGCTGGTTTCACCTGCAAAACATGTCTATGATGCGAGCGTGCTGAAGAAAGGAATGTACCACCTCATTCACAAAATTGATTAACATAGACCAGATTTTCAATTATTTGTTAAAATTGATGAACACAGACCAGATTGTTCATATTAACATTTGGTAATCAATTATTTGTTAAAATTGATGAACATAGACAAGATTGTTCATATTACCATGATTGAGAAGCTTTAGCAAATGATGGTCGCCCAAAGCTCCTTACTTCTTCAATGGCGTCTTCGTCACTTGTTCGCAGCTCTAGCTCGAACTCTCGAAGTCTTCTGCCGTTCTTGAGTGCTCGTCAGTCGTCACTCGTCCGCAGCTTCTTCTTCCACAGCTTCTTTGTTCGAAGCTTCGTCCTTGACACTCAATAGTCCGCAGCAGTGCAGCACCATCACTCGGTCACTTGGGAAGTTGGCAGAAGTGGAGAAGATAAACCTTGGCTCTAGTCTCTACTTTGATTTACCTGGTTAGGGATTTGGTCTCCATTTGGGAGAATGAAGAAGAACCGTAGTGACCTAAGATGGGTTTTTAAAATTTTGGGCCTTAATTTACCAATTTCATTTAATGGGTATGGTTGGCCCTAAATCCCTAATAACTTACAAATTCTAATTCGGTATTTAGGTATATACCGTACCATACCGAAAATTAACGGTATTTCGGTATATACCGAAATACCGAAAATTTAAAAACTGCATACCGTTACCGTACCGGAGTGACCCGGTATGGTATCATACCGTACCGAATTTTTCGGTATACCGAAAATTTCGATAAATTCGGTATTTTTCGGTACGGTATGGTCGGTATACCGAAATTTCGGTATATTTTCCCAGCCCTAGTCGCTACAGTATCAAACAGTGTCGCTACAATGCTAAATAGTGTCGCTACAGTGCCAAACAGCGTGCAGTCAAGTTCATTTTCTTAATTTGTGTAAAGAATACTTGGGACAGCTTCATTAGTGGTTGATACAAAATACTATCAAATTTGATAAAGAACTGGATAGTTGTGAAATTAAATTGACCCCTTCAAACAGGCTCTATAGTACTATCCTATATCATCCTTCATTCTTTTTTATTTGCAACATGTTAAATTCTACATTATTCACATGATCTACTTTGACTACGTTTTATTTATTAACTTATACTACATACGAATTATTTATTAAAAAAAATATTGTTCAATTTGTTTCATTACAAATTTTCAAAATCAATTTTTTAATTTTTTTACTAATAGAGAATAAGAGATATTGACGGTCAAAGACATGCGTTGGTAAATATGCAAAGTTGACTGTAGCAACTAGCAACTAAAAAGAACGGAGGAAGTATATATTTGGTAAGCTAAGATTAAGTAATATATAATAATAATATTAATATATACTGGAAATAATGTACGCTGTCTGCTTGAATTGGTTGTTTTTTTAACAATATAAATAATAATAATAATAATAATAATAGGTACAGTTGGCAATGTGGAAGGTTTGAAGCGGGTGGTGGTGAAGAGTACGTAGCTAATTAGTGATGCGCTGCAAATTGCAAATAACATATTATACCAAAGAAGAATTGAAGAGGATGATGATTATGGCTACTCAGAACTACACTATTATTATCAGATCTGCGGCGGCTCTTCTCATTTCTTCCTTTTTTTTATTTTGCGCTTCTACTGTTTACTATCATTCAATTGTTTCATTTTATTTTTGAAATTTCAATTGACGGGGATAAAAAGAAATTATTGTTATGATAAGGCAGCGGATAATTAATTATTAGGTACTATATATTCATTGTTGTTCTATATATACTTTCTCTTTTAATTACTCGTCTTAAATAAAATGAGGTATTCATTTTCTTAACCCGGTCATTATTAAAATTCTTACCTATGGCACATTGTTTTAAAATCATGCCGATGGATGTAGCTCAACTGGTAGATAGAAGGTGCACAGGGGTAAGTTTCGGGTTCGAATCCCGACACGCAACTCCGTTGAGAGGTTACTGTGTGAAAATGCATAGAGTCTCTGCAAGTACAAGGGCCCGAGCCTCACTATCTACATGTCAGCTTGTGATTAAAGATCAATTTACATCCTCCCAGTAAACTGTTGAGTCGGTGCTGGGGGCTTGCGGGGATGGGGTGTCATCCTTTTTTTTTTTAAATCATAAGTGATCCTCTCTAAAGACTCTTAAGGATGTTTTTACTTGGACTGTAATTTGTTGGTCTGGTCTAATCTGGTCTGGTCTGAACTAGTCTGGTACTCTGGTCTGGTCTGATAATGTCTAGTTTCTTTGTATTTTTATAACTATCCAAGTCTGGTCTGGTCTGAACTGGTCTGATCTGGTTGATCTGGTTTGGTCTGGTCTGGTACGAATTACCGTCCTAGTAAAAAAACATCCTAAGTTCCTAACTGACGTTTGAATTGGTTCAACTGTTCAAGTGATCCTATATTCACTTGGGACTTAAAGTAGAAATTTCGAATCATCTCATTTGGTTATCTTTATTACGAGTATGAGATTACCGCACAAAACTAATTTGGGTACAACGTATAAGATATATATACTCCGTCTATAGCTGTTTGAATCAAGTTTTCATATTGTTAGATAATCCTATATTAGCGTCATGTCGGAAAATGATACTCCGTTTAATAATAAGTGTCCTTAAAGTATCTTTCTTCTTTGATACGGAGTATCTCCAATGTTAAAAGGTGAGTGATGCATACATCATATGCGTCATTATTCCTCATTAAAGACATAGATACATAAAAATTAATAAACAAACTATCTTTCTTTTTATTTGAACGACCTCATGTCACATATGTATCCTCTAGCATGGGAGATAATGCTTTAAGGAATGTAAGTAAGATCATCATCATTAGGTTCTACTATCTTTAAATGGTAGATTCTATGGTACCCAAAAGGTGAGTAATGTTCTTGTCCATCCGTAGGGACAGAACCCGCCGTCCGGCAGTTGCCATTTGGAGCTCTTTCCGGTGGATTTTTTTGCTGAAATTTTTTGAGCATGTTCTTCAAGAAGTCTAGTTTATTCATGCCAAATTTCAACCGGTAAGACATTCAAATGATTTTTGGAAGTTAATTGCGCACTTTATTTACATATAAAACGCAGTTATCTTCCAAAGATCATTTGAATGTCTTCCGGTTGAATTTTTAGCTGAAATTTGGTATGGATAAACTAGATTTCATGAAGAACATGCTCAAACAATTTCATCAAAAAATTCAATCGAGAAAGGGCCCCAAATGGTGGTGGCCGGACAGAGACTCCTGTCCATCCGGATGGACATGATCTTTTTTCCCCAGAAGGTACCATACCTTTGTCCACATGGACCAATCTGAATGTTGCAGTTGAACTATTTAAGTCTAAATTAAAAATGATATTCCTATTTGGATCAATCAAGTGAATGGTAGGTACGGTACCCCATGTTTTAAATGAGTACCGGAGTTCTCACCTCTTTAAATAATGGATGTTTACAATTTTTATTTTAATATGCATTTTTACTATCTCGACCAAATGCTCTATGAAATCTTATATTTTACAAATTGGCCAAACACATCAACATTATTTTGCATCAATCTAAAATAAAATTTGTCATTTTTTCAAGCATAAAGAGCACTCCACTCCATATTTGAGTCTTACGAATTAAGTACTTCTGACGTTCTTTAGTAGTTGCAACATTGTGAAGATTGCACAATCACACACTTTACTTTGATCATGACTTTATACTAATATATATTCAAATTATTTTGTATAAAATGTTACTATCTCCGTTCCATAATGGTTGTCTAATTTCAAATTGGCACAATTATTAATAAAGTGGTTGAAAAGTAAAAGTTGTAGTTGAGATTTGAGTAATATGAATTGAAATGATATGGACCAAAAATTTCTTATCAAAAAGAGAAGCATGATATCCATTTTGGGACAACCCAAAAAAGAAATAAGACAACCAAATGGGACGGAGAGAGTATTAAATTTCTATTAATGTGAATTTTCGCAATATTAATTTTTCATAATATTTACTCATGCGTAATTAAATTTGTTCCAAATTGTTTTGCAAACTCAACATTTTTTGAGCAACCAATGTCAGGGTCCGTTTGTTACGATGTAAAGTAAACATTTTGTGCGTAAAGTGTGGGGAAGTAAACAGTTTACACCGTTTGTTTTAATTATATATTTAATGTAAACTGTATGACACTTTTTAAAAACATTTTACATCATACTATGTAAACTATTTTACGTGCGGTGATGGTAGTAAACTGGTTTACATCCGTTCAATGTAGTATATATGTTGGGTTTTTCTTTGTTTTCTTGACCCATGAGGAAAGCCCAAGTATTGACCCCATTAAAAGTTTCTTTGTCTTTCTATTTTTGGGAGCTAATAATAATAAGGGGTCAGCCACTATCTCAAATACAAGGATAGAAAGAGAACAACAGTTAAGAGCAAAAGTCACAAAACATGAGCTGAAATGCTCATCTCGTTTTTCCAGCAGGCAGCAATGGAAAAGTTCCGTTTCCCGAAGATTGAATTGTTGGATCGTCGTGATTTTTGGACAGTAGCTTCACAGTATTTGGGCCAACATTCTGGACGGTGGAGATCGGCTTTTGAGGTCTGGAGGTCCGGTTTCGTTGGTCTAGACAGTAGCTATTTTCTGGTGATGTTTTTTCTTATCTTGGCTCTATTTGATTCCCTAAACCTTGATGTGCTTATTTCCAAGGATATGATGATTTTGTATGCCTCTAGTAATATATAGAGAAGACTTTGTACTGCTCCTTTGATGATGATGATAGTGGATTTAAGCGGCCAAAATGGTCCCATAGTTTTTCCCTAGTTAACGGGTTTTCCACGCTAAAAATCCGGTGTTTTTGTGTAGTATGTGCTTACTGTTTTAGTTGATTATATTGGTGTGTGACAGCAATATTGTGTGTGTTCTAATAAATTAAGAACACCCTATTTGTTTGCATCCTCAAAGGTTCATTCAAGTTGGGAAAGTTTAGCCAAACGGAGATTAATTCCGCATTTTATTAGTTATCGTTTGTGGCTGTTTTTCCCATCGATGTATTGGCGGCAAGAACTCCCTTTTCTCCTCCTATGACGACAAAGCAAAATATATTGGGGAATTTTTACAAATAGGACACAAACATATGAAATTTCCAAAATTAGGACAACAACTATGCATAAGACACAAGTACAACTGATTTGACCATTTTACCCTTACTTTCTAATTGTTAAACGGACTACAACTTGCACCTTCCTCCATGGCAGATCTAAGTCTGAAGAACTGTGCAAATCTCACCTATTTCTCCGCGGACCGCCGTCAATTGCAACGTTAACGGGACCTTCCCGGCCGTCTTCAACAACTGCATTTCCCGTTTTTAAGAACCCTTCGTTTGATGTCCAACCATTTATCCCGGAAGATCTCTCTCGCCCGGCTGCCCCCTCTTTGGAGACTCTGTTTTTTACCGCAGGACCTAGCAGGGAGAGTGATGGCCCAGTTGTTGAATAATACGGAGTCTTACAGCCGCTCCATCACGTCCAATTTCATGGCTCATGACTGCATGCTCTTCTTCCAGATCCCGATTTCCGAGTTATATAGCCTGGATGGGAGCAGCAGTGAAAATACCCCTTCTTAGTGGAGCTCCTTGTTCTATTTGAGTAGCTTGGTTTGGTTAGCAGCTTGGAGTTTAGTAATTGCCCGTCTCTAACCTCCAAGAAGGCGACAGAGTTTTGTTTCCTTTATCTAAAACAATTGTACCGTTTTCTTTCCATTTTCCATTTGGGGTCTGATTATGTGAATAATTTTTGAGTTGATGGTTTTTGTAATGGGTTTGTCAGTGTGAGTCTCAATCATCAGAACGTAAACCTTAACGCCTCTCGTAAAATTGTCATTTGAAATACGGCTACCAGTAATTATCTGAACATCCCAGAAGCTACTCCTTTTGAGGTTGCTTCCCCCAAATCTAGCATCATGGAAGAATTCCAGGGGGTGTGTCAACTTACTTAGGTTTTGGTCACTCTCCTGAATCCAATAATTACAGGTTTTTAAGAGTATGGAACTTGTATGGAAGTTGATCAGCGATGATTTTAGAAATTTATTGACTGGTAGCACGCCCAATGTGGTTAATGGGTAAATGCACTGGTACAATTCCAAAAAGATCATTGTCTTTGACATTGGGAAAGAGGAGTTCAGAAAAATGGCTGAACCTATATGTTAGGGAACAAAAATACTAAAATTTCTTTGGTTTGGTCATTAAGCTAGTATTTTTACTAAATATTGAAAGCAATTGGTTTGACTATGTGTAATCTACATTTTTAGCACCATATGAGATGCTTGTTCACTTTTAGTCTTTATTTAATGTGAAGTTGATTTGTGAAATCTGATTGAAGTATTTGATAAAGTCCATAATTGGACAATAACAAGTCATTAATGTCTCAGTTGTAGACATTAAAACTTTACATTAAAACTTCACTCATATTCGTGAAGTTCTTTTTCATTATGATTTATGACTATATGCAATTTTTCTTTTTTGAACATTAAATTACTATAATTAAAGTAAATACAAGAATTAATACAAAATTGTAATAAACACCACACAAATATCAACATAGAGTTTTTAAAGGTGAAAACCTAAAACGGTTGTGACACCAATTGTTATGGATGCATATTAAGCCGAAGATTTTAGTAACATTTGAAGAAGCATGTTTAGAATATCAAGTTGGAAGAAATGAGATGCTTAGTGCAATTTGAAATAGATAGTGTATATGAACAAGTGAGATAGTAATTAATAAGACAATAAGAAGACAATAAGAAGACATTAATTCTGAATGTCTCTGGTAATCAAGTAAGAATAACAAAAGTACATTTACTCAAACTCAAAAATTCATGGAAATTAACATAAATTCAAATGCCAACAAACTGCGGCAGTTAAGAATAGCAAGGGGAAAGTAAAAGCCTTCTAAATGTTATTCTAAGACATAAAAGAGTAAAAGCCCGCAAAACTTCTTATTGTGCCAGCCTTCCTTACACCTTGAACAATGTTGTCGAGAAACAAACTCTCCAGTTGAAAGAATACACTTCTTTTTAGGTCTACTAGTTTGGCGAGTGATAGAACACTGTGTTGTGATATGCTAGGATTCTTATAATTTTTCTTATTATGCCCATCTTTCTTAAAACGTGAACACCGTTGCCGCTGTCAAGAAGCAAAATCTCTAGCTGATGAAGGTATATAGGTGTACTGCACGTTATGGACTGCATAAAAGTAAGTATAATATGAATGTATAATACGGAAACAATAAAAGGAAAATAATTTGAAAAGGACATTAAAATAAAACATAATTAATGTGATCACAGTCATAAGAGTTTCCTCAACATTGTGATACTTCACTATCATTTTTTGTGCTTGGTGATGGGGGACCTTGCCTGACATCAAGAGAGCATGTTTGAACAAAATCAAACTCTAGAAAATAATAGACGATACAGAGACAGTAAGTAGGCAGTAAATAGACAAATAGTTCTAATGATAGTATGATAACAGAGCAGGTAACATAAAACACCATACGTATAGTTTCCTATTTCTAATGATGAAATTACCTTCTTATTTGAATCATTTTACATTCACCCAACCTCACTGCACGGACATCCCAATCACGATGATCATTAAGGTAAGCAATATGCAACACCTTTGTATTTGATTAGAAAAACAAAACTGGCATAGAATGTAATATTACCGGTAGATAACTGCTTTCTGACATAGGGCCAAGTGACCTCTTCAAATAAAATTTATAACAAAACAGATCTATAATAAAAATATGACTAGAGAAAAACTAAACATCAGGAATATCATCAATTGGATTACTATCCTACACTCTTTCTACATGTAACTAAGTTTATGTATTCCCAAGTGGGACTTCATAGTGGGACATGTAATGAATCAAGAAAATGAGATTAATATAGATGAGGACACTATCTCAAAACATACAATATGAAATCCAAGATATGACACTTCTCATTGGAAATATTAAAATAAAGTAGTGCCATGAATTTTTCAGTACTATTACTTTATTATGTAATGTGTGTGTGAAGTTTTTGAGACAATGACATCTTGTGTTGCACATTCCAACTTAGATTCCACAAAAAATGCAATGAGTTGGACTTAGAAGAAGAAAAACATAGAGATATTGCAATTAAAAGACTCCAAGTTATTTAAACGCGAGGAGTCAGTGTTATCAGACACTAAAATGTAATTGTCCATAAATAAATGGAATGGGTAAATCCATGAACTTACTTGGATTCTTCTTTTGAGAACCTATCATATAAACATGAACGTAGGAACCCTAGAATAAGGAAACAATAATAATAGGAAACTGAACCTAACCAAGCAAGCAATCATAAAAAAATGAGAAAAAAAAAACAAAGAAGATTTTTTTACATAGAGTCATAGAATGTTTCCAGATTGTTTTCTTCACCTAAGCATTTTATCGAACACTCTTTCAAAAAAAAGCATTTTATCGAACATGACATATGCAAATTATAGAGAATGTTTACATATACCATATAATGTAAGTGTAGGTGCATACAACTTTACTAGCTTAGTACTGGAGCTACTACAAAAACAGATTTAATATTTGGTAAAATTGGGCAGTACGGATTTCACTTTTTATAAATAAATGAGTGATATCAATTGTTAAATTGCATTCATAGAGCTGATGAGGAAGACATAACCTTCAAAATGGAAGATTAAGTCACGACCCTTTGAGAACAACAACTTTATTGAATTTTATTGAAACATAATAGAAATTACATACCTGGGCAATGTGCATCCGACCAGAGGGTTCAAATCCATCATAGCATACTTGTTGAAGCATATTTGCCAACATAGTCTTTAATTCTTCTTCCTAATAGTGGCGCTGAAAAACATATTGTTGTTCACATACGGTGGTTGTTTTTCAGCGATTTCTCAGCTAAGGGGAATAGAAATTTTGAAGGAATCGTTGCAAGTAGAATTCGAATTCTCAAAGCAAATCGAACGCAGATGAAGAAGAAGAAGCTTGTCCATCGTTGAAATTTGTGCGTTGTTCACATAGGTCAGTAATAGGCAGCTAAGGGTAATTTAGGTAGACTAGAATTAAGTTTTCTAAAATAGAACAATTATAGATCTACGGAAGTAAATTTACTAACAAAGTCCTATTTCTTTCAAATTACTATGAAATGGTCTTACATTGGACAATTTTCTCAAATATATTACGGAAAAAGTTGTTCTTTCTCCTCCGATGACAGCAAAGCAATTAGAAAGCAAAAACTCTCTTTTCTCCTCCTACGTAGTATATAAGAAAACAGAATCCTCAAATCATATCACCATATCTATATCATCAAATCTGCTCACCATCCAAATTAACAAACAGGCTAGCTTCTTCTAAAAAACAGGTTAGCTTCTAATTAGACATGTAGTATATATATTAGAAAATTGAATCTTTAGGTTTGAATTATATTCTAAGATTTGATGTATAGTTGAATTTAAAAGCTATGTTTAGTGATTTTCTAAGAATTATTTAAGTATTTGATTAAGTAGAATAGTAATTTTTTAGTGATTAGTCCTTTTCTGGTTGCTTCAAATAAAATTACAATTTTGTAGTGATTAATCCTTCTCAAAATTAAAGGTTGCGGGCCAAATATCAATTAAAAGTTCTCTCCACGTTAATTAGAAGTTTTCTGGCACGTTGAATTAGGGATGGACTGGGACGGGTTGGCCCGACCCGGAACCCGGCCCTTCCTGGTACTGTGCAAGCCCAACCCGGCCCGACCAGACGGTATCGGGACTGTGTTACCGAACCGGGTGGAAGAGGG